GGAAGAGATGAAGGAGAAGGAGGAGGAGGTGGAGAAGGAGATGAAGGAAAAGAAGGGGGAGGAGATGGGGAGGAGATGAAGGTAGAGATGGAGGAAGAGGAGGACGAAGAAGAGATGAAGGAGAAGGAGGTGATAGAGAAGAAAGAACAGAAGGTAGAAGAGTAAGAGGAATAGAGTGTGGAGGGAGATGAAAATAGAGGGAAAGAGGAAGAGGAAGAGGAAAGGAAGGGGAAAGAGCCAGATGGGAAGCATGCAGCAAAGGTGGTACAAGCACAATTATGTTCCCATGGGTGCCATTAACCGCTCAGCTCAGCCCCACATCAACCCAGCCAACCCCTCGTCCCAATTCAGCCATCCCTGAGCAGCAGATATTGGGAGCCATTCTTTGAAAGACAAGCACTGATTTCACTGGTCCTACCCAAGAGGCAGGCTCTCTTCCATACAAGCATCCCCAGAGCCATCGAAGGTCAAACCAAAGGGAAGCCAAAACCACAAAGCCAAGCAAGACAAGGCAGCCAACGCAACGGAAGGAGGCCAAGCGAGGTGTGTCATTCACGAAAACCTGCCTATTATCTGGGGACAGTGATCCTTCCGATGAAGCCATGTGATATGGGGATGGTGAGAACCTGTTATCTGGCCGGAATTCTTTATCGTAAGCCATCATGTTCCACTCCAGCCGCCGGTTGCGCGCCTTCCGCACTTTCTTCACCTCCCGGGTGGAATCCTCAACCAGTCGCTGCTCCTGGAGGGAGTTGGATGGGGAAGAAGGAAGAGCTATCAGCACCCCCCACGGAGAGCCCCTCCGCCCCAGTTACAACACAGCGTACTCTACATCTGCCCCAATTGGTGAAGGGACATGGGGGAATGCTCTCCGTCCCACCTCACCCCAGCCGGGATCCCCACCATGGACAAATGGCTGCAAAACTTGATGGAGTCAGCAGAGAGGGGCCAAATGGACGGCTCTGATTAAAGGAAAGAAGACCGTTAATTTTACTTCTAGGTGGAAACCACTTCTGGACTTTGTGCTTGAGGAAGTGGGGCGGGGGGAATGGAACTTTTAATCTTGGGCTTTGCTGATTAGATAGACTTGACAATATAGAAATAGCTAGTATATGTTATCATATAAAACAAAAAGGTTGAGGTTCTATGTTATAACCTTATCCTACTTGTCAGAATATATGAATGAACTGGAAGAGAGCTTGGTACCGAGGTCAGCCAATGAATAGGCACAGCAACTAAGTCAGCCAAGGAGGATTGTTTGGAAACTGAAACTAGAAGTAGCCCAGACGTGGCTCTATATTAAGCTCTGCAGCTCTGTTGAGCTCTGAGTCTGTCTATTGAAGATGGAACTCCTTCTCTCCTCTGCTGTGTATAATGCTAGCCTGCTGAACTAAAGTGAAACTGAGGTCTGTTTCTGAACTCCTGAGTTGCTGCTCTGCTCTGCTAAAGCTGAGTTGCTTGTGACATGTCTGCTTCTGTTTGAGTTTGTTCCGAGATGGAGAAATCTACAACTGGTATTGTAAAATTTATTTAATGTTTATAAAGACGTTAAATGAAGCTATCAGCCATCCGTGTTTACTTTTCTGGTGCTGAATTTATGCTGTAAAACTCTGAACACTACTGAACCAAAAGGAGTTGTAAGTCAACACTTGTCTTTTAGTTCAGGGGTCTCCAACCTTGGCAACTTTAAGACTTGTGGACTTCAACTCCCAGAATTCAACTTTAAGACTTGTGGACTTCAACTCCCAGAATTCAACTTTAAGACTTGTGGACTTCAACTCCAGAATTCAACTTTAAGACTTGTGGACTTCAACTCTCAGAATTCCTCCAGCTTTGCTGGCTGAGGAATTCTGGAAGTTGAAGTCCACAAGTCTTAAAGTGACCAAGGTTGGAGACCCCCATTTTAGTTCATTAGGGTGGTAAAATCAGGAGCAACTCACTTAACCACCTGATCCCAACTGTGGATGTAAGTCGAGGACCACCTGGCCTAGCTATCAGGAATTCCAGGTTCTGCAGCTGTTCTTACCTTCTGCCTGCGTTTCTCTTTCCTCTTGTCTTCTGTGGCTTGCAACATCTTCTCTTTCCACAAGTTAAAGAAATACGACGGGTCCGTATAGAATTTTAAGCCATCTTTCTTATCGTCTCTGAAATAGCAAGCAGGAGGAAAGGAGGGCAAGAAAGAGAGCAAGGAAAGAAGGAAGGAAGGAAGGGACAATTGCTTATGATGGGCAGAGATGCAGCATACCTACTATCGGTTTGATTCTTGCCCTGAGAAGCTCAGTCAAGTGAAGGGAACCTTATGTAGTTGGTTTTAATTTCAGAGTAACAGAAAATTTTTTGAAAAACAAAGATGGTAAAAATAAATTTGCTTCTGCAACAGAACATTTTAATCATCATAGATACTCAAGATAAGTTTCAATATTCCGGGAGCTTGATGTTAATACAAAGCTCCAAACAAAGAGAAAATAAAGAGATTATAGGAAATCATAAGGAGGAGGAGGAAGAGGGGAAAGACGGGAACATAGAGATGAAGGAGAAGGAGAAGGAGGAAGAGGTGAAAGAGAAGAAGGAAGCAATGATGGGGAAGGAGATGAAGGTAGAGATGGATGAGGAGGAGATCATGAGGGAAGGGGGGAGGGGAGGAGATGTAGAAGGAGAGAGGGAAAGGCAGAGGGAGAAGAAGAAGGGAGGAGGAAGAAGAAGAGGAAGAAGAGCAGAATGGTGGAATCTGCAAGACCATTCAGATGCAGCATCCTGCAGGTCCCACTTTTACAGAGTTACTGTATTCTACATTGTGTGCCAAATAAATACTCTCTTGAAATTTGGGCAACTGAGAGTTGCTTCGTTCATAAAGAAAGAGAGAGAAAATTACTCAATGCAAGAGGCTTTAAGCAATAATACTCCAGATGTTTCCTTTGTTGTAAGCCGCCTAGAGTCGCCTCAAAGTTAAGATGAGCAGCATATAAACTTAATAAAACAAACAAAACAAGAAATCCCCACCCTTGTCACAATCTAAGTGATGAGTTGATAATAAACTCTGGAAAGTTGCTTTATCCCTCCCCCAAGGCTTCCCTGGATCTTCTGAGCCCCTGAGTTGCTGCTCTCCTCTGCTGAAGCTGAGTTGCTTGTAACATGTCTGCTTCTGTTTGAGTTTGCTCCATGGTGGAGAAATCTACAACTGGTATTGTAAAATTCATTTAATATGTTTATAAAGACATTAAATGAAGCACCAGGCAGCTGTGGACTTCAACTCCCAGAATTCAACTTTAAGACTTGTGGACTTCAACTTTGTTGTCGCAAAGATCTCTGGGCACCAACCTCCAGGCTGTCCCTGGTCAAAGTCCTTCCTCTAAGACAGGGGCCTCCAACCTGGGCCACTTTAAGACTTGTGGACTTCAGCTCCCAGAATTCCCCAGCCAGCTTTGCTGGCTGGGGAATTCTGGGAA